TCAGTGCTGTGCTTTAACCCGCTGCGCCACCAGGGAGGGCCTGTTTCCTTTTTTTAATAATAATGATAAAACTGGTCTCTGCTTTGTCAGATCTAGTCTTTTCTTTCCCTTGGAAAAAGGAAACAAAAGCAAGATCTGGGGGCTGAGCGAAGGAACGGACAGCAGAGGGTGTGCTGAGGGTGTGCCCCACTGGATGGGCTGGGCAGCTCCTGCCGCGTGGCTTCCACTGGACCAGCTTCGTCCCACGGCAAGCAGAGAGGCTTGAGTCAAGACAATGTTGGGCGCCGCGTGCCCGCAGGCTGCCCCCGCGCTGACCGTCATTTTCACTGCAGCTGAAAGCCGCAGCTCCTCCCGCTGTGCAGAATGCAGGCCGACGGCCCGGAGCGCGAGCATCATGGGCGGCACCTGGCTTTGGCTCTGCTGCGGTTTCTTCTTATCTGGGCATTCTTCTCAAAAATTTATTTCAGACCGCTGGAACAAACAAGGGGCCTTCTCTTTGATAACTTCATGTTGGCTTACGGGGAATTTGTCACGGCACTCCTCTGTCAGCAGGACTTGGGATTCACACTCTCTCTAAAGCCTAATTAAGTTTGTAAACGTTTTGACTTTGCCCTGTCATTGCTGAGAGAATACTGCAGGATGCACCACTCACCAGCCACCACAGGTACTTGGAAAACAGGGAACACCGCTTAGCTGGAGTGGCGAACACACGGTCAGTTACTGCATACAAAATTGCCGCCCACTGGTCGGGACCTTAAACCCTTCACCCTCATCCGCACCAGGAGCCCACACAATGGGCCTAAAACTTGGCTTGTAAGGTAGGTTATTTTCTAGTGTTTGTTTGTAGTGAGTATCACTAGAGCAGGGCCCAGGCAGAAGGCTCCAGCCATAGCTCACTAAGTCATTTCTGGCAAGACGGAAAAGCAGCGTATCTGTGTGTCAGATCGCTAAAGCAAAGACGAAAGTTCTGCTGAAAGCTCAATTTATTACATCCAAGGGTGATCAGTCAACCCACAAAGAGAAAGAGGTGGAGTCAAATGCAGACAGAAGCAGGGCACAGCACAGATGAAGAGCCATGTGGCTTTCGATTTAGGGTGAAATGAACTGCTCCCCAGATGTACAACCTTGAAAAAGTTGCTTACCTACAATAAATCTTGTTTTACTTAACTGCAAAATGAGCTGGTTGTCTGAAATAAACTCGAAGTCTATCTCCAGAAATTCAGTGACAGGTGGGAAGAGTTAAGAAATCAAAATTGTTATTATTGTTATATTTACTTCTAAAAGTACTGCAGACCATGAACCAAACACACACAAAAAATACAAACTTTGGCTTGAGAATAGTCAACATATATTACATATAGAAAATAACCAAACCCACAAAGAGCTAGAATAAAAACCAGAATCAAAGATAAATGATATCGTTTCATAGCCATGCAGGTATCAACTTGCCATAAAGAAGAATAATGTTCTCTTTTCTGAAGAACTATACTACAATGGAAGAAGTTTCTATTTTAAAGGGGGGGGGGGCAAAGCAAGAATCTCAGAATAGATATAACTAGATATAAAATATCTAGTTAAATTTTATTTTAATAGATTTTATTTGTCATCAGTTTCTCAAAGGCAAGATTCAGAAGCTATCCAGAGATCAGTGCTAACTGTTTACTTCTAAAAGAACAAAACTTCTAAACCCTTCTAAAAGAACAAAAACTAACTAAAAATTAGCAAGGCAGGGACACCAGAGGCGTCTTCAAACTTGATTGAAGGAAACGAACTCACACAGTCCACCTCTCATCACAGTGTTTCTGGTGACTCCATTTTACTTCTTCCTCGCTGCCATCTTAGTGCCACAGAATGTTCCCAGTGGTTTGGCCGACACGCTTGCTTATCTACATGATGGTCCTGCTAGAGCATTCCAAAGTCTGATAGGGATGTTTTTCTGTATAAAAAAGAACCAGCTCCTGACTCCACTACCAACCAGGCTAAAGTTTCATGAGGAAACTGAAGCACTTGAAGATTGAAATAAATCAGAGATACCCTACTACAAGTCCCAGAAAGGAGAATCTCTTCCCAGGAGTCAAACATGAGTAGACCATGGTAGAGGCAAAGAAAATGGGAAGAAACAAGGCCCCTGCCACCTCCCGCGAGCACCAGCACACGGCTTACATGCAGCCAGGAAGTGGAAAGATCAGCATTTAACCAGGCTTAGCTTGAAATTTTCAAAGGCAATCTTTGCGATTCCCTCCTTATCACGCACCCTAACATTTTATCAAACAAAGCTGCAATTAAAATGGAGTTCTAATCTGTTGCCCTAAAACTCTTTTATTGCAAGGTACAAGTCTTGTAATATATCAAGGGAAAAGAATTCCTTTACAGTCTATCATATACCTGAATCATCAAAAGATGAAATGTCCCTCTTAGCATTAAAACAATTATGTTGAGATCTAGATCCTTAGGTTGCAAGCATGATTGAAACACGATTTTATGGACTCTGTAGGGTTCTAAACAGGGCTTAAGGCAACTGGGTCTTCCTGTTTCAATGAAAAGGCTAATAGGAAAAATCTTCCTCTAGCTCCTCCTTTCAAAAACATGTATTAATTAGAGAAAACAGCATTGAGGGAATAGAATCAACAACAGCTAATGCAAAGGGACCTGGAAAAACAGCTGGCTTTGTAAATTTGATGTCAAGTAGAAAATCCCCTCAGATACCACATTCTACGAAGACTCAACTCCTGAAAGCAGCTACTAAAGCATTTTGAGCAAATTCTCCATGATACAGTTTACTATGAAACACATTTACTATAAATTCTTCAGGGTTAAGGGCCTTTAAAAAGATCGACACACAAGTCAAAGTCAAAATCCACTTGTTTCCTCTTAGTAACAGCATAAGGGAACAAAGGAATAAGCCGAGTCAAATCCAATTAATTTTAAGCATCAAGATTTCTAAGCTTACAATCACAAACAAGAGTTTTCCACAAGTAGCTTTAAAGTCACAACTATTAATTAAATGAAGGCACTAAAAATTATCTCCATGAATGAGAGGAAAGTCTTCATCTACTTATTTTTTAAAGACAAAAGTCTTATTTTGTTAAAACATGCTTTCTTGTGCATTTTAATCAGCCATTACAGATCATTTGCATGGGAGAGTTTTCTTTAAAAAAAAAAAAACTAAACTAAAATCTAGCAATTCTCTCAAGAACATAAAACACACTTTAAAATACAGTGAAACGCTGCCTGAACACTCTTAAATATAGCATTCTTGGGTTTCTTCTCTTCCTCATTTTTGGCTAGTGATAAACTCATACTTCTCATTAACTTAAATTATCAATGAATAATTAATTGAAAGCATGTGCTAAAATCATTCACAAAAACCTGATTTTCAAGTATATCTATCACACTTGGTTTCTAACACATACATTAAAACACGCATCAAAAAATCTGTCATACTTTTAATATTCCAGCATTCATTTTAAAGTCATCTTGTCCCCTCAACCAAAGACAAATTTCCAACCTCTCGCCACTATATGTGAGAAATACTTACTGTAGACAAAAGGATTCCATTTTCTTTCTGAGAATGTTCTCCACCCTCCTAGAGAACTCTTCAATGCAGTGTGCAAATTTATTTCTGAGTTTTACAGTAACAAAGCTCTTGTGCGATGGAACCTAATGTAAATGAGCCAGCTCTGCAGCTGCTTCAGAACCCAGCTCACCTCAACCATGATACAGCTAATTGTTAAAAATGGTGGCTGAGACATTTTCCATACATTAAATTAAGGAGCTCTGATGAAGGCGCTGGCATCCACCCACTTCAGACAAAGGAAAATAATTTGCAACTGTACCAAGACAGGAATAAATGAGTCATCTCCCATACAGGGTCAGTGTGAGAGGTTTCCTCCATCTTTACAAAATGCAAACCACAGCTTATTGTCTCATCTCAGAAATCAATTCTTTGCAATGCTGCACCCGGTCAGAGTTTTTAAAGGAAACAGAGTCGTGGGTAAATCTGAACCTCCCATGCTGAGAAGAGTGAAATTCTCAGAGTCCTCTCCTTGCCTGAGCAGCTCTCCTTCATCCCCACTTGACACTGCTCAAGTCGTCCTATTGTTAAGAGTGCAGAAAGTCCCACACCTCTGAAGGGAGCTCAATCTCTCAGCCAGGTGAGCAATTTCCAAGTCCGTGCTTCGGGAAGAAGCCCAGACCCCACAGGTCCCAAGATACAAATGCATTCTTGGGATAAAAAGCCACGTATCTTTGGCATTTTGTGGTTTTATTTTTTCAAGGGAAGACAACAAACAAGCTGAATTTAAAATGCTGAATTAAAAGCATTTTATCTCCAATATTAATCAAGGTTTCACAAGTGTGATAGGCAATATTTATAATCTTATTTCTCTCCTGATAATGCTTACATGACTTAGGAAGTTTTCTCTACACCAAAATCTAACATATACTTAAAGGGCTCACATCAGACTCTTCTGAGGATGAATTTAATAAGTGAAAACTAACTATCAATGTAAATTGTCAACACTTGATGATACCTAAGAATTCACATCTCTAACCCTACGACTTAATTTTTCACATGTAAAGTATTATGCTAGATCAATTCCTGGGAGATGACTCCAAATACCTAGAATACTACTCTTTCCCTAAAACAAAATATAAATGACTAAATTCTTTCCTACACACACAACACCTACAATCCCAAAGAAGGATCTGGTTCTAGCAAAGAAAAGAAATTCCATTTTCATATTTCACCTCTTGTATAAATCTGCACTTCATGTTCACCGTTTAAAAAAATCCCAAAGTACACATTAGTACCTAAAGAGGAAGTCTGCAAACATTCTAAATAACCCACTACTGGAATCCTTAAGCAAATACTTCTCTGCCCCACCCAATTTTTTTTTTTTCCTTTGAGGAAAAAATAATACAATGACAAGGCACATATCGGAACAATTCTCAGGAGAAAAAGTACTTTTCATATGACATGAGTTAAATGCTTCTGAATTTATCCCCAATTTTTAAACAACCAAAACCTTGCTTTTCGAGGTTCTACAACAACACGCTGCCCACTGCTTGCCAGGGCGCCTTGCCGTCACACGTCTTTAAAATACACAGGCAATCCTACCTGCAGCTCTCAAATTTAAGGAGTTAAAGACTGATGGATGCTGGTGGTCACCGCAGCTCTTCCAAGCCTTCTATGTGGGATGAGCTCTGCAGGAACCAGTGCTCAAGTTTTTCCCACTCCGAACAGACAGAATTAGAAAGGGGGAACTGAGGGGAGGGCGGAGGGAAAGAGAGGGAGAGAGAGAGAGAAGAAAAAGGAAAAGAGCACACCCTGCAAATGTTGACATGACTGGAGCACTAAAGAGTCAATTAGACAATGAGACTGCAGGGTCCCCTAAAAAGGGTGCACCGAAGCCCCTGGGGCACAGCAGCATCATCCCTGCTGCTCCACGCAAATTTAGAGAAGTCAGTCATCAGTCTGAAGGCACAAACTGATGGGAGTAACAGTTTATAGGTTACAGAAGGGTATTTTATTGTTAACGGACTGTACCAAGTTAAGATTTAAGAAGGGGTGAGACCACATGTAGGCAAGAAATGCTATGATACTTTTTTTCAACCCAAGCCACTGCAATTACTCTGATGTGAATTTTTGATGACTTCCGACATCTTGCAAGGTTAATAATCGCTTCAGCTGTCATGTTTGGTTAATGTGGAAAATGCATTTGCTGCATTGTGATGCAGTGCTGTGGCCACAGATTGTAACACCAGTTGTGAAGCTGGTCCCTTAACTGAGCAGCAGGAATTTGCACATGCCATGATGCTAAAATAAATGGTAGTTAAAAGATTTTATACAGCAGCAGACAGCTTCTGCCATTTTAGCCTACAGAATGTGTAGATCCAACACACACAAGCTCCCAGATCACTGCCCGCGTCAACTGCATTATCCTCCTCACACGCTGACCACCTTAAGTATCTGGCCTTTCAGTAGTTAAAAGATTTCGATACTGTTTAAATAACTATTCAGATTAATTATAGCTTTGAACAAAACCAAGGTTATTTGCATTTCAGGAATATACAGCCAATGAAACTGTCAGTGACACAGGAAAATGCAGACCTTTTATTAACATATGCTCAGCTCAACTGTCACTTCTTTGTACAACATTTAGGGGGAAATATATGATGTGTAAGTAATGAGTATTCTCATTGTACACTAGTGGTTTTAAAAGTGCTCCTGCAAAAGGGATCTTTTTCCTCCATGTTTTAATGCATAACTTGAAAATTAAAGACTCTTAAAATACTAACATGTATTTCCCATTGTTACTAAAAGAAATTCGGTGCAGCAAACAACTGGGCAATTCTAGGGGAGCTTGTGAAAAAGCAAAGATGAAGCCACACTAGGAATCAGACGCCAGATGATTAAAGTCGGGCCAGGCAGGTAGCAGACCGTCAGTATAGTGCAGATTGCAGAGGAATGAAAAGACTATTCCATTTCCAAAAACAAATCCCACAAACCCTATGACTACAATCTTTTGGTTGCAAAACCAACACTTATATCACAGAGGCTGAACACATATTTGCCAAGTTCAAAATGTATTTTTATACAAATATTAACTAGGCTACTTAGCATCTAGGATTTGACTACTTAAGACTCTTACTCATTTTATTAGTTAAAGAGGCACAACCAAGTTAGGCTTCATTGCTAAAAAAAAATTAATATAGCTAACTTACATTTTTTAAATCAGAATTTTTGCAAATTAAATGCTTACAGTTGAGATATTCTGATGTTTCTGCCTTATTTTTTAAAAAGCCAAACTAAAAAGAATGGACAAAGGAACACACTTGCGTCTGTACAGTGAATAACAATGAAAAAACTTACGTTACTAACATAAAAATCAACTCATGATTTCCTTTCTTTTATTCACTGTGATAACACCAAATGCGTAATTTGGAGGTGAATGTGTTAACAAGTGCTATGGAGCTGAAGAGCTTTCTAGTTTTATTTCTTAGCCTAACTTAAAATTAACTGGGTGCCATTTCAGATGTCACAGTAGCTGTAGCTAACATTCAACAATTCAAGCTTATTTTTTTGATGCAGACCCAACACCAGGTACCACTAGCAGCTCAGACATTGCATGGAGGAAGAGAGAAGGAGATAGATGTTGGGGGTAGCTTTGAAATTAGCCAGACTCAGCTTATGCTCCAATTACAGAACAAAAGGCAATCCAGGGGGACCTTTCTCTGAATCCTTACAAGAAGCAAACCCTTTTGTTTCTGATCAAATAAACACTGTATTGGCGCAGGGTGGACAGACAGCAATAGGAATCTTGCCTAGGGATGGAGGGGGCAGGGGAAAAAGACCTAAGTGTGGTTAGAGTGAAACCATTTCACTGATGATCAAAACCTACTCCTCAGGAAGACAACTGAAATTCACTACAGGGGAGTGACAAGAAAGGGGGGAAAAACAAACAAACAAACAAAAAACTACCTTTAATTGCTAAAAAACAAAACAGAAAACCTACCTACCTCAGGAGTCACTACTACAATACCTTTCCTTGTCAGTGTGATGTTAGAATAGATTGTAAACCAGTTCAGACTCTTCCTGCCAATCTATGAGAATCCCAAGGAAACCAGATAAATTGCAGAATATTCTGGCTGCAAAAGACGTACTGAGGAGTGTGAACTGACCTGCCTAACCTAGCAGCCCCATAACCTGAATATGTGCACAAAGGTTGAAAAAGTGTGGAAAAGAAGCCATCTTGCAAGGGAGGTTCTGTCTCCACTGGTTTTATTGCTACACATAAAGTGTACCGTTCCTAGATATCTATTTGACAGTTCATTGTTTAATTGTGGTTAATTATTTGGTTTCATAGTCCTGAGCACCCAAAAGTGAAAGAGAAGTAGGCCCAACATTTATTAACACAGAGGATTAGCATAGGCCGGCTTAGCCAAACACAGAGGAGACCAACACCATCGTTTCAGAATCCTCAGTGCACCGCACCCTTCTGAACAGCAGCAGCTAACCTGCACATTACATTCATGCTATTAAAAAAGACACCAATATGGCCTTCCCTGGTGGCGCAGCGGGTTAAAGCACAGCACTAAACTAAGAAGCTGAAACCACTTCCACGTGAGTTCGATTCCCGCCTGCCCCGGAGGTGACCACAGGGTGTGGCAGACCTCTCCTGACCGCCCGCTGCTCCCCTCAACAGTGTACTTCGCCAGGTCTGCCTGTTCTGCTCCCCACTCTGTCTCTGGTGAAGTCTTTTGCCACCCCTGAGTCTCTGGCCTGTACCCCAGTTCTGTATGCACAAATAAATAAATTAAAAAAAAAAAAAAAAAAGACACCAATGCGTGAAGACAACTGGATCTTACCACACTACAACCAGAGTGTATTGTAAGGTCTCTGTGTGTTTGAAAGTTCTCCAAATTTCATAGGGCCTCAGTTTTCAATGTTCCATGCAAAATTGCAACAAAGCATGCCCTTAGATAGTTCCTTAGAATTTACAATAATGAGAATCTTAAAATATAGAATGGTGTCTAGTTTGTTTTTCTATTTCCATCTCTTTATGGGTTCTCCCAGTTCCTCCACTAAAAAACTTCTCAGCGAAGTACAGGTATAAAAGACGGAAATTTTTTTTTTCTTAAAAAGTAGAAATACACCTTCCAAGCTAAGATATCCAGATTTCAAATTCTCTTTGGCTTTTTCCTTCATGTAATTAATTGATCTGAAGGACTGCTGGGACTGGGGGGGGGGGGTAAGATGGTGCAAATTTCCTCAGGTCCATGCTCGAAGCACACCATGGATGAAGATATTTTTTAGTAGTATTCTGTTTGGTGTTTTAACTATTAAACATTTATTACATTAATAAAGAATAAATAAAACTGCAGAAAAGAAAAAGTAAGCTCTGAAATTCTGTGGCTGAAGATAATAATCATCACTAGAAAAAATAGCCACATTTAAAAGAACGACTGTCCAGCTCGAGAATACA